TTTATTAATTTTGACTGAAGTTTTTGGTTTTATAATTGATTGTTGGAAGTTTCTGGCGGTATTAAATGTACCTTAACGATATTTAACATCGAATTCAGTTCTGTTTCGGGATAAATGTGAGAAATGGTTTATGTTAACACACTCTACACGATTAATAGTGTGCCATTGTTAGGTAATTAGGAGTTTAATAATGAAAACTACAGGGTGACCACGCCGAAATTATATTTGATTGTTGGTAATATCTTAAGTATTGTCGTAGTAATGAAAGTATGATTGATGGTTTCTGGATGCATCTATAAACCGTACATTCATCGCTCAAACAGAAGGATGGTGATATTATGATTGTTTGAGAACGTGTATCAAAACATTTAGGTATTTAAACCCGTAAGAAACCAACGCTGTAAGAGCAGAACTCGAAGATTCATCACCGCTAAAACAAAAGCACTCCAACTGGCAAAATTACTAAACCATATCAAAGTTATTCTCTCGAGAGCATATTTTTTTCAGTAATTTCATGTCAAAAATTCTGTCTTTATTTCTTGTCTCAGATATCTAGCCCATTACTATCCTAACAATTACATTTAGTTACTGTAAAGAATGGACGAGCCACGGTGGTCTAGCGGTTAGAACGCTGGCCTTGTAATCCTGGGGTCTCGGGTTCGAATCCCGGCGGTGCCCGAATTTATAACTTGTGTTGGGCAAGGCCGTGGTCTAGGCAACACGGAGTTTTCCTCCGTGGCATCCCAACAATTACTCCATTCACACACAGAAGAAGGCAATGGCAAACCACTTCTGGATCATCTGCCAAGAACGTATATGAACAGGTCCCAGTCCGAGAAAAGGATGGAAGGATCCTGTTCATATGGACCTGTCGTCAGACACAACACTAAATAAAATAAAAAAGAATGGACAGGTATAAATAATCTCTTCTCAGATTTCCTGTAGTTTATGTATCATGTCAACATTTACGTTGAGTGGGAGTGATTTAACCCTTCCGGAACTAACCGGTGTCAGTTTAGCGCCGAATATGGCTACTCGTACCCACTGGGGTCTAATGAGTAGTCAGTGTTTTAAAAAGTATATTTCAAAATTTAATTTGGCCGTCCGCTACATTTAATTCGTGTATTATTTCCGTACAAAGCTTTAATTCCAAGAAAACCTTTGTAAGTTCTTTTAAATAGTATTAATTAATTTGTAGTCGACAAGTATGTATCCTGATGTTTGTGTTAAAGGTTTCATTTTTTAAGCTCTTAGTTAAATTTTATCTACTTTCATTCTTTTCAAAATTTCAGTCAATAGTTTCGTAAACGTAATTATTCTTTAGACTAAGTTGTCCTCTCCGTTAAGGGCTACTTGGTTTGAGACTGTTGTGTTGTATGAAATGGAACTGATGCTAAAATAAGACTAAGAATAATAAGTAGGGTTGTAACGATGTTTAAATCGGGTTCGGAGTGCGGCAAATGGCTTGATTAATTCGGGCAGAAAACCGCGAATCCCTGATTCCTGTAGTCGTGTCTGCGGTCAGAATGAAATTAAACACGCAGGTTATGAGCGTTTCTGACACAAAGCAGTTGTGTAATTAACCCAGGAAGGTTACAGCGAAACGCATGGAGCCAACATACATACAGAATTGTAGTGAAGACAACACTAACCAATTCGGATGAATTCATACGCCTGAGCTGAGCCATCTAATGTAAAGTATAAGTTTATAATACAGGGTGATGTCTGCTTCGTGATCCTGATCTAAAAAAAAAAATCGATAAATCAGCCATTGATTCTAAAGTGTCTAATTTTGCAAAGATTAAAAATATAATTAACAAAACTGAGGAAAATATAACATTCTGTTAAATTAAAGGAGCTAACACATTTTAAAGTTTACTCAGCTAAATTAAAGTCAAACTGACGCGTGGTAGAAGAAAGTTTAATCCTCAGAAAGTGCCTTTAAAATATCCAAGTATCCTGTTATGAAGTGCGTCTTCAGTATTAATGTCTTTGAGTTTTATCTGCATAACTGTTAAACTTTGTTCTTGTTCGTCTGAGTGAAATTTTATCCAGTGATCAGCCCACCCAATAAGGAATAAAAATCACTGATGACGTAGGCTTTTGCTTCACATCGGTCCAGATGACCTCCAAGAAAAGTATTACTGCATAAAATTTCAATAAAAATTTTGAACTGTATACAGTCTTTTTTATTGATACTTTCACTCACTTCAAGTTTTCTGCTATTGTATTAGATTTTTTCCTGCAATTTATCAGTCATCTAGGTCAGTTGTATTCAACCTGGGGTACGCGTACCCCCGGGGGTACGTGAGATTTAAAAATATATATTATTTTAAGATAAACACTGAATAATCAGTAATGTAATTTATTTAATTTATTTTAGATGTAAATTATATACTATGTATAACTTGAATTATACACCAACAAC